CACGTTTCTAGACATATTTGGGCACAACATAATTTCTCTCATCTGCTATGACAATTCATCAGTTCCATTCGCAATTTTACCCGATCAACAACCACTCTTATTCAATACTCTTTTTCCTCGGACATCTCTTATATCTTCCTCCCAGTCATATGTTCTCCAGACGCTCTACTCTACAATATCTACACTCTGCCTCCCGACATCATGGGGGGACGTAGACACTTCCCACATAAGTTATCGCATTGGAACCAATTCTGACGCTCAGCATTTGGTATTGACGGATGACGCTGCGTTTCATCGATTTTGAAGTGCACTCATAAACCAATGGCAACAAAAGAATTATGAGAGGGGAGGAAGCAATCCGAGTATGGGAATCGACATAGAAGCGAACGCAAGTTTAAACGAACATGATGAGGTTCAATTGATAGTTTACAGAAAACGTCATACAGAAGGTCTGGGGCGACAACAATGTCCTTACGCCACTTGCACTGCATAATCTAGGCATTTCTAATTTTATGATTACTTGGTTATGTAATACCGTAACCATTGGTTTTTTTTAGTTACCCAACCTTATATAGAATCATTGTATTCATCTCCGAAGACACCCAGAGTACAATTTGACAAGATGGTTGGTTAGTATCTTTGATAGACAAATTTGGGAAGGAAGAATAGTACATTAACGAACAAAGTTGCCATTATTTCCACTCACACCCGCAATAATTTCTTTTTTTAACAGATGATGTCCCGATTCTACGATCGATAACGGTCAAGTCCCACACAAAAATTTATAAACAAAAAGTCGCAATAACCGATACGACCACCTTCGCAGATGTAATTTCGTTTGCTCTTAAATCTCCACCACCAGGTAAACAATTTGTCATCTTCGCCGCTGATGGTTCGGTTGAGTATATGCCTACCAATGTGGTGAGAGACGTCATCGTTGACGTTGAGCACGCAGAAGTCTTGGTCTCTTTGGAAAACGCTAGAGACGTTGATTTTGGCGAATTTTACATAAAAGAGCATACATATACAGAAGGTATGTGACAAATTTCGTGTAGATGTTTAATGTTACATAATTATTAGGCAGATCATTCTGAGATCCTATCTTCCAGGTCAAATGCCTACGACTACGAATACTATAAACTACGGAAATGCTGGAGGCTATGTATTATATCAAGGAACTGTTAGCTACCCAGTTTGTTGTCATTGTTCGAGTAATGCTCACACAATGAATGGGCAATCGAATGTACTGAGCCACGAACAGATTGAAAATTATGTAAACAGTCTTATTTAACCCTGGCATCCTTCTCTGCGCTGGACGTTGAAGATGTCATCTGTCGGACCAAGCCATCATACATTTTTATGCAAACTTCACTTTCAACTAACAATTCTGACATAACCAATGAGCCCACTAACCCTGAATATTTCCAACACTTTAATAATTAAGAACGAGTCGTATACATGCCTTTTATAATTTAAATAGCTTTCTGTGAAATTGCATATAGATATACTGTACTGTATATTAATATTGTTTATGGTGCCGACAATTATGGCAACGATCCTCATTTGAGCGAAATTACGAAATTTGACCATGGATACTAATACGATTAAATTACACCATTACGCCTCATGTTCAATATTGCGAGACATTTTAAAAACTTGTAAGCCTGTGCCACGAACATAAAGATATTAAAGTTGGACTTTTGGAGGAAAAAAACGTGTTTTTTCTTGTTTATTTAGTTTTTTTTGTATTGTTCCAATCTTATTATCAAAAACTAGTTCTTGCGGAACTTCCATCAATCAACCCATTTTAGTTTTTAGGGGGGTAATTTATGAGATTTAAACTTAGTAATAGCGACTCTACCCTTTGGTTCTTGTCGTATGTACTCTTTTCTCTAAGCAAATTATTCACCTGTTGTTGTCTTTTCTGTTTTATTAATAATAAGCGAGCAATGGAGTTTTTGTTATAATCGGATAAATTTAGACTGAAAATACAGTCGAACCTCCATAAGTTATGTTTCATCATAGAAGTGTTCCTTTATAGAGTTTACTCACAAATACTTGTAATATTTATTGAACCAATCAAATACTAGTACTGCTGACAAGGTAACAGTCAAGCAATACCTGTATTTTTATAATCATACGATCTTCTTCTAAGCAACTGCAGGAAATACAAGTAATGTAATAAATTATGTATCAACGAGACAACAAAGTCTAGTTAGACTAATTTTCCCAAAATGATTACAATAAATAAAATTTTGCCAGCCAATCAACATGCAATGCTCTTATATGAAAGTAAATGTAATTATAAGCGTTCTTCAGAATCATGTTCTTGTTCCTTTATTATTATATATAAAGAAAAACATACTAATAAATCGCATCCGTCCCATAAAATAATGTTCTTTATGAGAGATAGTTCCTTTATAGAGGGTTCTTTTATGAAGGTTCGACACATTGAGTATTGCAATCGCAAAGAAAACGACAATAATAATGTGCGAACAATTCACCAATAAAACATAGCCGATTTTTACCGTTTTCAAAATTTCTAGTTCAATTTAATTGTAATTGCATAAAGTTTAAATGCTTACAGCTTTCCATCTAACTGGTAACTTTGTAGGTCTTGTCACGGAAAATTAGAAGCTAATTTTTGGAACGTGTTGTCATCAGAATTGCCACTTCCAAAAATTTTTTTGTTAATATCACCCCAAAGTGTATGTTTTTTGTATTCCTCTGGTGCGGAATCTGGCATCGATGGTCGTATTATTATTATTATTATTGCTACTTAATAAAATTACCGGTCAGTTTTTAAAGATACAAATTTGTGGAAGAATTAAAATATTTAGGTTCCGGCACTTTATTATAATTTTATTTAAATAGTTTTTCATAAAAAGCTTAGTGTTAGCAATACTTTCTTCGGTTATATCACTCAGTTATTTGATTTCTAGTTTTTTAAAATGTCTGGTCATTGTTTTCTGAGTATTTCAACTTGTATTACTTCCGGGAGAAATACAGTATCATAATTTCGACTTTGCACACGATGTAATGCGGACACTTTTCTGTCGCATTTTATTTCTCTCTTTCGCCGAGCTAAATTTAATCACAATGTCAATGATATTTCGGTAGGGATAATTTCGATAGACTACTTGCGAGCGGAAAGCAAGCAATATGCAAAGCATGTGTTTAATTTAACTAAATGGCACACGACTTTATTAAGCCAATGCA